CCCCCCCCTCAAAATAGACTGCAACAACCGTATTCATCAAATACTCGATGGTGGAGAAAAATAATTTCAAATTAGAAAACAAAAAAAAAGATTATTATCGAGTATATAGCAATAATTATAAATGAAATCGAGCGCGCTTAAATGAAAAAACAATATTTTCTTTTTTTAATATACAAATAAATAATAAATTCCGGCTCTTTTCATCGATTCTCAAGGAAAACAACTATAGTTGACAAGAAGTCTTTCAGTATACAGATGATGCGTCAGGTAACAAAGCTAAAGGTATACGTGAGTTCCACATTTCAGCTCCGTAGGAGCTGCGCTAACAAGCTTTAATTTTTTTGACTTTTGATTATACCTATTCTCATTATCCTTTTTTAGCATTTCTCGAGATTGTTCTGATTCATATATAAACTGTTCATGGATAGCATCCATCGACGTCTGATAACGATCAGTTGTCTGTTGAAAGTCCTCTCGCAAAACATCAATACTGTATTCCATATCATGTCGCGCATTTTCCAATTCAGTTTTCACATTCATTGGATCGACAAACAATTTTTCTTCACGCAACACTTCCGCTATTTGAAGAGCTGCTTCTCTTGTAATTGCTGATTGAGTGATACTATCTCTATCCTGATGAGTTGCAAGGATTTGTACAATATCATCAAATTTTGTTAGAATATCTCCATATTCATTCTTTAGTGCCGGAACCAATTGTCGCGATTCGATAATCGATTGAAGTACATTGTTGTCGTTCGAAAACGGTGCAACATAAACATAACCGAATATCTGCAAATCCTTCATGTAAGTAATTGATTCGTCTTTTTTCCCTATTTTATACTGATAAACATCACCATCATTGCCAAGAACCGAGACACAACCAATAAAATGTCGCAATTGAACAGCTCTGTCTTCGTTCTTGTCCGTTGTTTTTTTTAATGGTATCATCTGACGACCGGCCGAAGCCCCAATAGCATCACTCATTGCTGTTCCTTTTCCTTGATCAACAGGATTCTTCTTGGCTACACAGAGCCAGAGTTGTTCAGCTAATGGCTCCGTATGATTTGGTTTACCTGATTTCAAATCATCGATAATCCATGCGACTACATATTCTGCAACAATAATTACTGACATTTTTTCAGCTTCTTCTGGACGTACGTCAACAAAAACATCTTTTATCCATTTGATTTTATCATTGAAGACATTACTGCCTTTTATTTTTCGCGACGTGTCAATAGATTGAATTTGTTCTTTGTAATAGAGTGTAACCAAGCCGGCCGTTTCAGAAGCAGCACGTCCCAATTCTTCAATATTCCCAAGTGTCGAAATATTGTATCTTTCCTTTTTTTGTTTTTTTTCATCAAGTTTCGACAAAACGCGAGAGAGTATAGCTTTGATTGGTTGTATAATAACTTGCGCTAGAATAAACAAGCACAGGAGTTCAGAAAGCTTAGAGCTTGTTAAAACATTGAATAATATTTTTTCATTGTGTACTGACTGATGGAATTCTACAAATGAATGACAAAACTTTCATTCTGACATGTTTGACTACGCGGCTTTAGAATTCGTTATCATTTTTTCAATGAAAAGTTACTAGAAGGCATACTATATAAATGTATATATATGAGGAAAAATAGTTTTAACGAGTTTTGTCAAGATATTTTATTTATAAAGATATACTTTTACGAAAATAATCTCCTATTCTGATAGCACTTGGAATTCTCTATCACTTTACGTAAGACTTTGATTTTTACGAGAACCGTTGGATTATGAGATGTCTTTCAACACTCTTTATGTCAGATTTTAGGACTAGTTTTTTTTAACTAACGAACGTGCACAGAGTAGGTTTAAATCTGAAATTGACTACGATCAACCTTTCACTCTGTCGACTAATCAAAGTTCAGTATATTAATTAGTAACAAGAAGAATAGTAATTGCTTGGAAGTTATCACTCCAGGAGTCAAGATTTAGAAAGATCATAGTGATACTAGTGTTTTTCCTTTTGATAGTTTTCGCGTAATCGAATATTCTGTATACCTTTGACTATGCTGTCAATGAACATACGAGAAATAATACTTACACAATGGTATAATCGATGCTGGAACAGCTTCGACTATGTTGGATGCCGCACCATAGCCCGCCGTCATTGTTGATACCAACAGTCCACTTTGAGCTGCTAAAATACCGGTAAATAGTGCTTGCAAAAGATGTTCAACTGTTTTATAGAACAATGATAAATTTTCATTCTTGTTGATGAAATTAAGTATATTTCGTTTATTAAATATGGCTTCCTGTTCACGTTGGTACAAGAAAATTGAACATTCATGACTAGCCACTTGTTCCTTTAAAGTTTCTCGATTTTTAAAAATATCTTTCAGTTGACGAGCAGAAAGGGTATGTTGTTTCAGCTGTTGATCAGCTTCTTCAATCTGCTTCATTAGAGCTATTTTCTCATCAGTGATCTTGTTCAAATCATTGGTTATTTTTTCCAGCTTTTGCTCAATACTCGCCATATCTTGTTGACTCAAATTATGGATATCTTTTTCACTGTTCACATTTTGAAGTTGATTGGCACGTTTTCGTACATTAGAAGTTAAATCCGAAAAAAGGTTTTTGTATGTGTTTGGATCGTCAGGATCTAGTACAACAGAACTTTCGGCAATAATTGCACTTAGTCCACCCAAAAAGCCGGATAAGATTCGTTTGTACCGTTCATTTAAGTCCAGATCACTAATGAATACTGCGTTTGATGGGATAGCTGTTTTCAGTTTTTCGTGATGTGGTTCTAGAACGTCTACAATTTCTTGTTGTTTGTATTCTTTAGCAACTTGAATTAGTTTAGAGCACACTTTTTTCTTGTCTTCTTTTGATTCATAACGTTCTTCGCAAAATTCTTTAATTATTTTTATATGACCATTTTTTGATGCTTCTATGAGAGTTTTATAATCATGTGTCGATTTGGTAGGGATGTTCGGTATGCTAGGTTCCTCGAACAAGATAGAATCAGATAGTAATAATTGAGCAATACGTTTAAAGCCGAGGTGTTGAGCAATTTGCAGAGCAGTAATACCAGCTTTATTTGTTTGGTTTTTTGTGGCCGGATATTTTTTTGCAAACAGTTCAACAACAGCAAAATCGCCTACAATACACTCAAACATCAAAAAATTATACGGATGTAACATTAAAAGATCTTAATAAATATTCGAATCAATGTGATAATCTGTTTGAAATGAATGTATACCCTTGCTTGTAAAAGAGACAGAAAATGCTATGTATAATTATCTGTAGCCAATTATAGCAATTTTCTTGAAAATTGAAATTCAAATAACAACTGAGCCATCTATTTGATGGCACCTATATTCAGATGCTAATTTTAAAGCTGATTTCTATATTACTTGAAATTGTAGTTTGAATGGAAAAAAAAGTGAGATTTCTAATATGGCGATGTAAAATCTCAACAAGTTAGAAATATACTTCTGTCGTGCAGCTCTGTGCCGGTCTTCTAAAACATGAATATCAACTATATTGATTTTTCAAGAAAAAAAGGTAGTATGCAAAATCATTTTTGATTACTTGGAATCAACACCCTTCTACTACCAAGGTTACGATCAAGTTTTATTTTAAGGGTATTAACAACTTTGTCAAGTTCTATCAAAACATAGAGAAACAATAAAAAAACAATAAAAACAATTCTGCTCTTATGTAAGTTTCTCACTATATTTATATCAGTTCGACTTTGAGAGATGTGTGTATGTATATCCTTCTGCACTTGTTAATTAACGAAACGAATAACATACCTTTTTCGACTGCTAATGTAATCGGATAATCACCATTGATATCAGCCGTTATGGGAGTACTACCACGATCGCATAGCCATTGAACAAGATCGATGCCATGATGTTGTATTGCATAATGCAATGGCGTACGTTTTTGTTCATCTTGATAATTAAAATTGGCGCCAAGAGATTCGAATACTGTGGCACTTTGTGTATTATTCTCGAGAATTGCAGTCATAAATTGAGTATTGAGTTCCTCAGATAAATAATTAACTATATGCTTATAGTTATGTTTTTTAGCGAGTTCTATCAGAGACATTGGTTCGTTAGGATTTGAGTGTAATATTGTAGCTCCACAGGAGACAAGTGCATGGACAATTCGAAAGTAATTTCCATGTTGAATTGTACATAAGAGTGCAGTTGAACCATGGCAGCTTTTCGAATTGATGTCAGCACCCAAACGCTGACATTGAATGACTACATGCAGATCTCCGCAGGCAGCAGCCCAACGTAATCTACGATTGATTAAACAACGATTAATACAAAATGCAATTTTAGGATCCATTTTTTCCGAAACTGTCATTGGAAGAACAATATTTCTTGATGCAAGCCATTCTTCTGGCATTTTGATTCCATTTTCACATAGAAATTCGATAAGTGCAATATTTTGATGTTTCAGTGCTTCACTTAGATTATTTGTGTCAATCATATCGACACTGGCTCCTGCGCGAACAAGTTGTTTGACATAGTCAAGATTGTTGTTTTTTATAGCTTCTGTACATTCCTTTGATAATAGATATTTCAAATAGTTGGCAACTGTATGAAGATTTTTCTTTTTTGCAATATGATATGGCGAATCGGGTGTTGTGTATTCGAACATCATTCTAAAAAAATGGGCGTCTTGATTAATAAGATAATGGACAATTTCAATATTATCCGAACTACTGCAAGCTAAAGGTACCAAATCAGGTATAAGAGAAGCACCGGCAAGATGATAGGCTAAAAATCGACCCGAATGAGATTGTTGAATTGATTCAATCAATTTCACAGTTGCGACTCGAGATAACTCGTCCATTATATGTTGACAGCCATTCATCATTGTTTGAAAACGTTGACGATCATCTAATCTTATTGAAGATGATGCTAACCTTTGATGATATTCAGTTGCTGACATTTTTGCTACCTCATAGGCAGTACGGTTGTTTTTTCGACAGCGAATATCAGCACCATTACCAATAGCTTTTTTCATTTCTTCAATATCTCCCTTTTTAGCAGCATCATGTAAATGTTCATTGGGTGTTTTATTAAAAATATGTTTTCGTACGACACCTAATTGATCATGATCACTGGCATCAGTTATTTGTATTGTATCGACGAAAATTTGTGTTACTAGTTCACATGTATCAAGATCACGAGTCGGTTTAGTTGAGCAAACTCGATCTTGACTTCTCTGATCATCTATTGGACAAGTCAAACGTTGAAAAAACGAAAGAAGTTTCTTATCATTTGTTTCATCTTCTTTTGTTTTGGCTACATTCGTTTGAGCTATATCGAGTGGTGTTTGTCCTGATGAATTTTGAGCTTGATAATCGGCACCCCACAAAACTAAATAGCGAACGACTAGTAGATGATGATTTTTCGTTGCCAAATGTAGAGGTGTTTCTTTATTTCTATTGGAAACATTCAATTTTATATTTAGCAAACTTCGTAAATACTGAACTATTGATAGTTGACCATATTCGGCTGCAATAGAGATTGGATAGTCTCTATTCATATTCGGTACTGTATAATTAGCCTTCAAACGTACAATTAGATTTTCGACAAATTTTCTCGTTGCTATTTTACATGCTAAATGTAATACGGTCCATTCTTTATAGTCGTCTGTCGAATGTTTATGATCAATAAGAGCGCCATATTGAATGAGTTTTACTGCTTCAGTTATGAGACTTTCATTATGATTATCGTCAGTATTCGCACGTGAAATACAGTTCCACAAATGAACATTCAATTCATCTTGAATCATTTTTGCGGCTTCGGGACGATTTTGTTCGATTGCAAATTTGAGAATAGACTTGTTCAATGTCGAGTTAAAAAACGCATCTGTTTGTATTTTGGGTAATTTCAGAATGGTGGAAATAAGAGCAAATGGATTTTTATCATGTAAAATACACATTTCAATAGGTCGATATCCATTAATATTCGTCACAGTGATGTCAGCATGGAATTTGTTAACAAAAACAGTTAACATTTCTGGCGTACCTTGATTAACTATTAACAGATGAAGAAGAGTATTATTGTTAGGGAAAAGTGAATTGATATTAGCTCCCTTTGCTAATAACGTATGAACTTCTTCAAATCTTAAATTCGATTTTTTCTTTTCAATTAATCGTTTCAATGCGATATTGATGCTTTGTTTGGTTAACATATTCACTAATACAGCATTTATCGGTATAGCATTTTCAGCAATTTGAAGGGGTGTTAATTTATCACGATTTTCACATGCAGTATCACAACCAGACTCAATAAGTGCCCGTACGAGTGTTAAATTATTGGCACGAACAGCATTCGAAAGAACAGTATTTCCGTGTTCATCAGTAGCTTCTGCATCAGCACCTCGACGAATCCATTCTATGACTTCATTGACATCGATTACAGATGTTGAGAATGGAACTTGATTCAATAAAATGTTGAACTGCTGCTGTAAACAATCTACTACAGCATCTGAACAGTTCGGATTATTTTTGGCTAACGATAAACATGTTCGTTGTTGTGCATCTGCCTTTGTCAAACAATGTCTGGTGTACTGATCATTATTGAGAAGAAACTTGACCACATCATGTCGAATAGGAATTCTATCCTGTTTCAGCATTTCGCCCAATAAGCCAAGTGGTTCGTACTTTTCTTGATAGCAGTTTCCACCTAATTTAACGAGTAATTGTATCGTAAGAAGATCTCCACCGTTTGGAGCCAACACAGATTCTGCGAGCAGATCAGATGCACGACATTGTAAGGTTTGAATTAAATATTGACAATTTTGAGCTTTTATCGGTTGTACTAGCTTATGTCGTTTTTCCTCTGCGATAACAGAGTCGATCATATAACCATTTTTGGTAGGTACCAAAATATCTGCTCCTTGTGAAATCAAGTTTTGAGCGTCGATGTACGAATTGGCGTCTCCTGCATGCTTGTCAACTAGTTTGATCAGTTTTTTGGTTGGTGTTGACATATCGTAAGATTAATTTAGACGAAGTTGACCACTAGTACTAAATAACACTGGAGTGAAACATCTAGTGAGGACATTAGTGATCGTTTTTCTCAAGATTATTTTGATACTGTAGTTATATAATACTTTGATTTATTGATGATAATGCATCAAAATGGTTTTCTCATTTAATCCTTACTATTCTATATTGCCTGCGTACACAAAATTCTCTCTGATTATTGGCTTATAAAGTGATCGAATTTTAACAAAAATCTTTGGCACTACTTGTGGATGTGAATGGAGTGAGTATAAGTGCGAGAATAAATTTTATTCTCACCCACACCAGTCGCTTGAATCTGAGGCGTCGGAGAACAGGTAATAAGCACTTGGTAATCACTTTAAGTTCCATGTAGCTGAAAAGCAGCTGAGTTTTGCTATATTTAAATCCTTGTAACCTGTTGCTTAGAGGTGTTGGGGTTCCTCGTTCCCTAGAGTTCCGTTCCTCGGGAATGAAACCTACTCGAAGATTCATTTTCGTGTGTTTCTGATTATTTTGAGACTTATGGACATGCTTATTCTTTCAACCTGTATCAAGTTAGTATGGGTTCCCGGGATCCCAAAACGAGGCCTGTATCGGATGTGCGTGTCGATGAAGAGAGGACCCTCCGGCACGCTCACACTCTTTCCACATTTTCTTAAAACTTCCCCATCAGAGGAACTCACTGGCTACTTATATAGTAACTTCTAAATGAAAGCTTAGGTATTCGCGATAAACCCCTAACTAAATCTTCAAGGTCTCATTGTCTTGGTACTTTGGAAAGTTTTTTTTTGAGAAAATCGTGATGGATTCGTTATGGAAGTATTGACTCGGGAACGCACCTATAGGAGCCACACTTGATTGTTTTTTTTCTGACTTTCTTCGTCGGAATGTAGTTTTTTGTCTTGTCTGATGCGGGAAACATCAATTTTGTCGAATACAAAAAATGTCGATCGCAAATTTGTCGAAAAAGATTTGTCGATTCGACAAAGGACGGGGGCGCATTTGGTCGTAAATCGGCCTGTCGTACATTTTTCAACGGAACCTCTACTATCTTATATCGAATGAAAGATCTCATTAAGATGAACATTTTTGTTGACGGGACCAACTTTTCTTTCACGAGTGAATAAAAAGTTCCAGTATGATCAATATTTGGCGTTTTTCCGCCTAAATGGCTTTTATGATCAAGGGTGTGGGTGTGGGTGTGTGGACGTGGATAAAAAGAACACTCACACCCACAGCCGCCACTTCCCCCTCCACACACCCACACCCACACCCTGCATAAATTGACTCAGTTTTATGTGCTGAACACGAATCTGATGTTGGATTTTTTCTTTTAAGTAGAATTCGAACACAAATACAAGAAATACCGATGACTTTTAGGCAAAATTGGCACTCCAATGACAGTCTGCGTCTCCAGCAGGTGTCTTCCCCTAATCGTTTTTAAATCCTTAAATGTGGATTTTATAGGTAATGTAAAGGGCTCTCTATGAGAAAAAAATGATGATGTTTGCTCTTGCTGTTGAAGAGAAAGAACATCTGCAATGGTCGCGTCTGAGAATCTACACACGGTTTTTCACGAGCTTTCAAGATCATATTTCGACTATAAAGCCATAAGGACTAAAGCAAAAACATTGATATTTATAGTGGTGTTAGAGGGTCATATAGACTACTAAATGATGTAAAGAAAATCTTTTTTTCTTCTTGTTATCATGTGGATGGGTGAACTATATCATTTTGATCATAAAAGCCATTTAGGCAGAAAGACGTCAAATATTGATCATACTGAAACTTTTTATTCACTTGTGAAAGAAAAGTTGGTCCCGTCACCAAAAAATGTTCATCTCAATGAGATCTTTCATTTGATATAAGATAGTAGGGGTTCCGTTGAAAAAAGTCCGCCAGACCGATTTACGACCAAATGCGCCCCCCATCCTTTCGATTCCAATTTTGTCGAATCGACAAATTTTATCGACAAATTTGCGATCGACATTTTTTCTATTCGACAAAATTGTAGGCACTCGTCTGATTCTCGGTTTCAAAAATGAACATCTTTCATTTAATAATCGGATTTGTTAACGAAATGGGTGTAATCCTATGGTGATTTTTACATACTTATATTTGACAAAACTGCTATGACAAAATTCTTACCGTTCGGCGAAGAAAATGAATAAGCTTGATTCGAATGGTTTGTATTTATAACGCTACGAAGAAGAACAAATATTTGGCTCCGCTTTTTTTCAACAATGTTTTTCTTTTAAATCCACTCGAAACTACATCGTAGCTGTTGATTGATTTTCATCGCAAAGAGAAAAAACGATGAAAATGCAGCCGCATTACTAGACGGGTGTGAGTATGGATACGTGGATGCGGGTGCGGGTATGGATGGCTGTGGATATGAATGTGGGGTGTGGGTGTGGACGTGGGTATAAGGGTGTGGGGGTGGGGGTGGCTGCGAGTGTACATGAAGAGAGGACCCAAACAAAATCCACTCCCGTCCGCACCCCACACGTACACCCTAACTCATTTTGGGTGTGGGTGTGGGTATGGGTGTGTGGGTGTGGGTGTGGAGTGGATGTGAGTGTGTGGACGCGGATAAAAAGAACATTCACCTCCACAGCCGCCACTTCCCCCCTCCACACCTCCACCCCCACAGTCACATCCACACCCACACCCGCTACTCGTTTTTTCTATTGTTTTTGGTAAAATCTTCTGGTCAACTGCTAGTTTCTTGTCGAGAAACTAATGATTTTTTTATATTTGGGTTCGACAGCCATGTGCTGAACGTTCTTTTAAACGATGAACATATTAGCATCATCATGGTTCGCTACTTTTTATTTCCTTTTGTCATAAACAGAGTTATATCGAGAGAAAGATTATGCTCACGGACGAGTCTGTCGTACATGCAATGCTCTCTTTCTCAATCATGGAAAACTTTTGTTTTTTTTCCCAAGTGAAATCAAACATTATTCCAGCGTTTTATTAGAAACAACAATTTTTCTACGCATGAAAAACTGGCGCTATGTCATAATATGCTGATTATCATGCTTATATTTGTTTCTTAAGTTACTGATTCAGATGCTCCAAGTATGCAGTATTCGTTGTTTCATTAGCATGAATGTTCTTTTGACAACGAATTCTATTGTGTTTTTAAAGGAGTTTTAATTCAAGACTTTCAAGTTTAGTCATGAACAATACATTTAACAATTCTAAACACCAAGAAAAAGATAATAATATGTTTCCTATGAATTTGAAAAAAATCAACTTCTAATTGTTTTTTTTAAAGCTTGTTGATGTGAAGGAGAACATTGAATAGTTCTTTGATTAGTCAAATAATCTTCTAATCGATAATCAAATAATTTAAAATCATCTTCATAAAAATACTTCAAATTACAAATTAATTCATTAGATAAATTCGAATACAATGATTTATAATATTCTTGTGTTTTTCCTGTTGTAAAATAATTTTCATTATTTGAATTTCATTGATTTTAATCCAAGATATAACTTTAATCGTTGAAGATCTTCTTGCATCGTTTCATATTTTCCAATAAAATTATATTTAAATAAACAAACATGACATAATTTTGAATAAAGTTGCCAATGAACATCGTCTTGTAATGAATCAGACATTATATAACGAGTGAAATGTTCAAATTTGGGAATTATTTTTTGACAAGGTTCTTTTATGTTGTTTGATATACGTTTATGAATACGATAAAAACCTCTTTTAGCTTTTTTTTTAAATAAAACGAAGAATATTTTCGACAAATTGCTCGACGAAGATTGTCATACAATGAAAATGATTCCTTTTTAAGTGTAATTAACGTAAACTGATGCTAAACGTACGAACGGATGACGAACAAAACTTACACGAGTAAAATTTGATGAAAATAGTATGGATGGATCGGATAAAGTACGAAGACAAGTAAGAGGAAAACTTTCTCTTTGATACATTGACCATAAGTCAGTTTTTTTTTGACCATGTCTTATTAAATACCATAAGACGTGATAGAAGTGATTCAAGAATTGAAATTGCATTATATGTAGATAGTTGAGTATTATTCTAAAATTTTCTAGATACAATAAAAATCAATGCTCTTCTGATTATTAAACTTGAAAGTAAGCGAAATATCTCAACAAATAAATATAAAATTGTATCTCTTGATATATATTCTGATTGATGTAAAATGAATTCTTTGTTTTTTACCATTATGAAATATTTTTAAACGATAAAGACATTATTATAATTAGAATTTGTTCCTAGAAATATGAATTTTTATATCAATAGGTCACAATGAGAGAAAATTTTTCAACTATTTTTAGTAAAGTATAATAACATTTTGCACTAAAAGAACACAGTCAAATAAGACGAGAATGTCAGAAAGAAAAAATCGTGGTTTTATTGTTTATTCTTTTACTCTTCCCTTTTTTCTTCATGCGTGTAAATTTTTTAATGAGACAAACGTAAATAAAAACGAGGCCATATAACATTCTCTCAGAAGGACAAAGAAAATTTAATATTCTTATTTTTGATATTATTCATGTATTGCATAAGTAAATATAGACGATTAATAGTTAGTCAATGATTAAGTTGCTTTCAGTCAATCTTGAAATATTAGTATATTCATGTTGAAATATGCCTAGTTTTCAGAGTTTTGAGCTAAAACATTTTAAAAGACTGAAATCATCATTATACGTGTGCTGTTAAAACGCTAAAAATCTCTTTTTTCCAAAATTTTCAAAGTCTTTGTAGTTTATTTTTAAAAACTTTTTAAATATAAAAGTGTGAAAATAAATGAGAGACAATAGAATACTCTCTGAAAAACTTCTGCGCTTGAACTAGAGCTCTTCAGGGTATAGATAAATTGTCCTGTCCTGCCCTGACAGGGTAGCGTCAGGTTATGAAAATTTTTACAGGGCAAGTTGCAGGGTACGAGTATCATGACCTGTCAACCTGTGACGATTTTTATGCGCTAGATATTGT